GTGGTGGTCTGAAAAAGAAACAATGGGTGATAGGTTGAGGGCCAAAAAATGAAAAACTAAAGAGTTTGTCTCTCTCTTTCTTTTTTTTTTTTTTTTCTTTTTGAGATGGAATCTTGCTTTGTTGCCAGGATGGAGTGCAATAGTGTAACCTCATCTCACTGCAACCTCCGCCTCCTGGGTTCAAGCGATTCTCCTGCCTCAGTCTCCCAAGTAGCTGCAGCTGTAGGCACACAGTACTACACCTGGCTAATTTTTGTATTTCTTTTTAGTACAGATGGGGTTTCACCATGTTGGCCAGGATGGTCTCAATCTCTTGACCTCGTGATCCACCCGCCTTGTACTCCAAAGTGCTGGGATAAAATGAGGAGTTTCTTTATGATAATATTCAATTAAGAGTAATATTGGCTGATACATTTATTGTTCTTTATAATACTCTAGGATTCCCAGGAAGCAATGTCTGTTGTTGATGGCTCACTCTAACATTTTTTCTATGGTAAATATATAATGTATAGTGGCTCCAAGTATAAACATGTACACATTGTACATGTAGTTGTGTTTTTTAGTAAACTATTTATTTTATAATAGTTTAGTGTTTTCAGAAATGTTGCAAGTATCACTCTTCTGAAAGTGTCCTCATATATCCTTCACTTGGTTTCCTCTATTGCTAACACATTGTTATTCTGCATTTGCCACAACTAAGAAACCCACAGGTACATTAGCATTAACTGAATTCCACACTCTATTTAGATTTCACTAGTCAGGATTTTGTATGTTTAATGCCTGATATTCTTTTCTGTTTTAGAGTTCCATCCAGACGCAGTATTTTCCTTTTCAAGCACTATAGTGGCTCTTCCTTAAATGCTGAATTGCAGCATGCAGGTACTTCATAATGTCAGAAAAAATGAAGTTGTAATCCTGACACTGTTATGTTTTATATAACATCCACGAGTTTAAACACATTTTATTATTAGCAAATTGGATAAAGCTTCATTCTTAAAACATTATAGCAAGATATGTAATCAAAGATTGAAGTGGCATACAAAACCACATATTGCAGTGTACAGCAAAGAAATCTCACTTAAAACGGCATTCTATCAATAGCCCTCCTTTTTGGTGGGTAAGCTTAAAATTGGCTTAAAATGCAAATAATATCATTAGAAATTCTAGAAAGTTGAATTTTTATCTGTAACTTCTTTAAAAGTTCTGCTGCTCTAATTTTCATAGTAATACAGAAGAAATATACTTTGAGCTAATTTCACATTTCATTTCACAAATCAATTTTCTTTTCAAATATGTGGCCCATTTATTATTTGTTCTAAAATATATTGTTACCTTGGTAACTGCCAAATTATAGACCTTATATATCAATGTTGGTGAGGAGAATCTTAACAAATGATTCAAGAAAAATGAAGAGACCTGAAGTTCGCTTAATAATTTTGATGTCTGGAAAGTCCTCTTACAAACCTTTAACCATCACAGCCCCTTAAAACATCTCTCCTTTCTTCCAAGGGACCTAAAAATGCTAGTCAAGAATCCAGGCTGTGGGGAGAAATGCCAAATGTGGGTGAAGGGGTGAAAGCAAACAGAACACACTGCCATGTGTGTACCTATGCAACTGTATTGCATGCTCTGCACATGTACCCCAAAACCTAAAATGCAATAAAAAAATAAGAAAAAAAAAAAAGAATCCAGGCTGACTTACAAACCCTATATCTAATTTCCCACCATGAACGTCCCCCCATTCTCCCTCCAAAAATATTTAGCAGCTTGTCATGAATTCTCAATGTTCATTTCCTTATTCAGCACATTTTTTTGCCTCTAACAATGTGGCATCGGTTTGTAAAGAAAAATTATTATGGCGATAAAACAAGTGTGAGCCTCATTTCACATAGATTTTTGCTGCTTTGTTACCTTGGGTGCATTGACTTAATAGTAAAAAGGACCATGAGAGAAACCCAAGATAGAGATTACAATAAACTGGACTCAAGCTCCAACCTGGCCTTGTCCAATGCTGATGTGGTGGGCTCCTTTAAGATTCATATTTATAGCTTTGATAATAGATGACTTAAATATATCATCTCCAAGATCTCTTCTAGTTCTGAAGTCAATGATGCTCTGATAATAATTCCTCAGGTATTAATTAACTAACTGCTTGATTTCCCTACAGCAACTTCGAATGCAGCTACTTCCTTTCTTGGAGTCTTGGTCTCTCAAACTGCAAATACTGGAGATTTCAGTTATCTTTCATAAAAGAGAAATATGTAAGTCAGAAGAGAGTAAAGATTTTGGAGATTGTAATTTTAATCAGCCATATATTCAGCCTATATAGTCAGCCTTTTGTACAGGACAATAAACAAGCTGTTTTAATGCAGCCATTTTTTAAGAAGGGAGGATGGACAGTACCACTTTCCTCCATCATAGGGCCTGGTTTTCCCTCCATTAACTGCTCTGAAGCCTTAGTCCAGTCTTAAACTGTGCAGCTGTAAAATAGGCAGCGATTTTGTTTGTATCTAATCATCCAGAGTTCCAGCATAAGCTATAGGTTATGAATATATACTTATTCCCTTTTCATGTCTATTGCTTAGAAGTGTTTCTTTAATTGAATAGTGCCTTCCCAACCCAAATTCACATGATGAAATCTGAGCCCTAATGCACACTAAATGTGACCTTAATTTGGAAACGGTGTTGTAAAAGTAATTAGTTAAGATGTGGTCGTGCTGGAGTATGGCAAGTCTCTAGACCGATATGCCTGATATCCTCCTAAAAAGGAAATGTAGACAAAGGAACAGGAAGAACGCCATGTGAAAATATGAACTACATTGTCATTAGCCTAGGAAGAACCAGAACCTAAGACAGAAAACCAGAAAAGATCCTTTCCTGGTGCCTTTAGAGGAGCATTGCCCTGGTAATAACTTGATTTTGATTTGACTTCTGGCATTCAGAACTCTGAGACAAAAAATTTCCATTTTTCTTTCTTTCTTTTTTTTTTTTTTTTGAGACGGAGTTTCGCTCTTGTTACCCAGGCTGGAGTGCAATGGCGCGATCTCGGCTCACCGCAACCTCCGCCTCCTGGGTTCAGGCAATTCTCCTGCCTCAGCCTCCCGAGTAGCTGGGATTACAGGCACACGCCACCATGCCGAGCTAATTTTTTGTATTTTTAGTAGAGACGGGGTTTCACCATGTTGACCAGGATGGCCTCGATCTGTTGAACTCGTGATCCACCCGCCTCGGCCTCCCAAAGTGCTGGGATTACAGGCTTGAGCCACCGCACCCGGCCCAAAATTTCCATTTTTCTAAGCTACACAATTAGTAGTATATTTTTATGGCAGCTCTAGAGAAAGAATTATAAGCATCAACACAGGTATACAGTGTGGAAGTTTGAGGGTGAATTTCTGTTAAGATCCATTCCAGGAAATATATTAGTACCATTTCTGGTTTATAGATTTGTTTTGCCTCTGCTGCTGTTTGGGTTAGCACACATGCCAGTGTATTTTTCTATGGCTTATAACACATCTGGTTTCAAGTACTTGACTTTATCATTTACTAGCTATGTAATTAACCTCGCTGTTCTTCAGTTCCCCGAGAATGATAATACTTGATCTAGAGAACCATGGGCTGATTTATAAGGATCAGGAGAGATAACATAAGTGAAAAACAATATGGAGGCATGTAGAAGAGCATACAGAGATTAAGATCAGGGGTCTGGGAGCCAGGCTGCAGGAGTTCCAGTTCTACTTTTTCCTTTACTAGTTGTGTGACTGAACTACAGACTCAACTCTACTATTTTAAAATAAGAGCTGTAATACTTCCTGTGTATGAAGGCAGTTGCGAAAATGAAGTAAGTCAATATACAAAGAGAGCTTAGAAGACTGGCACATAGAATGTACTCATTAAATGCTATCTAACAAAAGTACTTCGCAAAGTATTTTGAACATTTTGCAAATGTTTCATTATTATAATTTATAGTTAAGAAACAGCTTGACTTTACATGCCAATATTAATTATACATGATTACTGATTTTATACATCAGTTACTCTGACTTTCTAGCTCACTGTTCAACATACATTTCGGTATTATGTATTTTCATAGCCAAAAAGAGCTAAGCAAGGATGATGACAAAAAAAAGAGATGTTATCAAGTAGATCAGGGTTGCCCCAAGAGACAAAAGAACTTTACAAGTAGAAGATATTTCTGGTATTCATTAATCTTGTCATTTCCTTGTGTGAGAATATTTTAGAGCCAAAAATTTTTTGAGCATGATATTTATCTAATATGATAACAAAAAGCAAAGTATTCAAGTAGATTTTAGAGAATTACATTAAAAAAATTTTTTTAAGTTTTCACTGAAATCCTTGTTTATATATATTTGAATGGAGATGGCTTCTCTATCCATCCTCCTCTTGGGTTATAGTAAATTAAAAAACAGCCGCCAGGCGCGGTGGCTCAAGCCTATAATCCCAGCACTTTGGGAGTCCGAGGTGGGTGGATTACGAGGTCAAGAGATCTAGACCATCCTGGTCAACATGGTGAAACCCTGTCTCTACTCAAAATACAAAAAATTAGCTGGGCATGGTAGCACGTGCCTGTGATCCCAGCTACTCGGGAGGCTGAGGCAGGAGAATTGCCTGAACCCAGGAGGCGGAGGTTGCGGTGAGCCGAGATCGCGCCATTGCACTCCAGCCTGGGTAACAAGAGTGAAACTCCGTCTAAAAAAAAAAAAAAAAAAAACAGCCACACATTGCTTTATGCATTAAGTTGAATTTCTAGGTCAAACAAAATACTTCTGTTGGAAAACAGCATTTGCTTCATGTGTGCCTGACCTTACAGAAGAAAAAGAAAGATTTTAGCATTTGGCCTTAGAAGAGAGAAGCATTTTAGTAAAACACCTCCTATGAGGTTTTTGTTTTTGTTTTTGGGGTTTTTTTTTTGAGGTAATAGAATTAGCTGAGTCTTAAAAACAAGTAAGACTACCATGTTTATTCCATTTCATACAACTTACCCAGGAAGTATAAATCTGGAGGACAGACTGTCTCAGTGCCGTGGATAAGTTATAGTCTTCAGAACTATGATGTGTTTGGTGTCCAGCCCACATAATATTAACTTCTGCAAAACACATAATTTGCAATGAGCCCTGAGAATAAGAATAAAGCAACTTCCATTTTCAGTTATGCATGCTGCTCTGTTGAGTGAGGAAGAAAAATCTGGAACATCTCTGTAAAAGCTGGCCAATATAATTATAATTAAAATATGCCACCTGAAATAATTTTTGGAACTAGACACTGTATAAATTATAATAAATAAAAAATGGAAGCATAGGCCAATAAATATGTATAGTTTATAGGTTATAATTAAATGCCTCCAGCAAACTGACATTAATTCCAAAATTTACACTTTGCTAACATATTATAATATGACAGATTATAAAAGCTAGCTGGTAATGTTGTGACAATCCACTTAATGGATAGTGATGATTTTTTCAGTATGTGATAACATTTCTAACTAAAGAAAAATTGTCTGAAGGGAGAAATTGGTATGTAAATTTTGGAATAAAATATTAATGAAATTATTTCCTCATGGCTTTCTGAGAAGTCTCAAAATCTGTCTGTTGAAATAAGAAGCAAAGCATAGCATAGCAATATTTTGTGCTAAGATCTCAGGTTTTCTTTTATTAATAAAATTATATTAGCTAACAGTTACCTATGGTTTTCCTATCCCTTACCAAAATACTATACTATTTCTAAATTTTCCCATGTAGTTTCTGTGTTCTTAAAAAGGAAATGATTATTTATTTTTATTAAGCACTGTACAGATTGCTCTCATACTATCTTGCAATTCATGCAGACTACAAAGAGGAGTGGCTTCTTTTCTGGTTTTTACAACAAATATGACACTGCGTTGATCCCCTATGTCATTGAAACAGACAATTACAAGTGGTTTTTTATTCTGCCCATATTTTAAAAATTTTATTGACAGTTTTCATTTCCTAACAAAATTATAGATCACAATGTCACATTATACTCTATTTAGTTTTAAAAAGATATATGTTCTCAGCGAAACTAACTTATGTTTAGTCCTTTGCTACAAATCCAGGAGACGGAATTAGCTATGTGACATGATCATCATACCCTTGCCTGTGTAGATTAGAAACTAAATCTTTTAGGCTTGGATTTACAGAAACTAAACAGTGAACCTAGAACTGCAAATATCAGGTTAATTGTCTTTGCAGTTGCCATATACTTATGTTATATGTTAACATATGTTAAAGTGTATGGTACATAGCAGAATAATTTTAGAAGTTTTTATGAAAATCATTTTCATATATATTCTATTCAATCACAGCAAATATTTGTCCATTGCTTCCGAAAATGAAAGCTCTCTGAACAACATTTGTAGAGAGTTACCAAACAAAATTGAAAGAGAAAAAAGGTCTTGGTAAACAAATGATAGTTCATAGATAAAAGAAGGACTTAATTCTATATAATAAGGAATATTATGAACAGGATTACGGTTAGTCTTATTATGAACAGATATCAAATGTCATTTCTATTAAAAGTCATATATTTTCCAGTTGAACAAGTATTGTCATAAATCATCAGCAGATATGTAACTTTGATCCCAATTGGTCAGTGTTTTAATTATTTTAATCATTTCTAGGAATGACACTATATTTCTACACTAGCAATTAAGGAAACTGTTCTAACACTGGATATTTAAAAATATCCAGTGATAATCTTTGAAATTACATAGAACATAATCTGGTTTATTGGTAAGCCTAATGGCTATACATAAGAAATATACAAAGACCCTTGTGACACTTTATTTGTTCAGATATTAGGTGGACATTGATTAAGAGGTAATAAATTTGATGAATCCCCTTAAGTTTAAAAACCGCTAACACACAGATGTCTTGAGTAATCTAAGCACCATTTTCTCATTAGAACATACCAATTGCTGAACATTTTATAACTTATGACTTACAAACTTTCATTAAAAATCAATACATTGTCTATTTTTTTGACCTGTCAGGATTTGTTTTTTAAAAATTTATTCTAATGCGAGTTGTATTCCAAGGTATTTTATTCGCATTGAAGAAAAGCAAAGCACACTGCCATGTGTGTACCTACGCAACTGTCTTGCATGCTCTGCTCATGTACCCCAAAACCTATAATCCAATAAAAAATTAAAAAAAAAAAAGACAAAAAAAAAATTTATTCTAATGCATCCACAAAATAAGTTAACAAGGGGATGAGGCTAATAGATGAGACTCCATTAGAGAGTCGTAATATATATTGGGAGCCACTTCCTTGTAACCTTACAGAAGCTAAACAGTGAAACAAAGAATCCACAAAGGTAGAGGTTAAAGATCTGTCTCTTTAGTTGTTTCAAAAGCATTTACTTCCTATCACAAACTGTGTGTAACACAAGCCTCATTCAATGAGGTACAGCTGTACAAACAGGGCACTGTAACAGGATTCTACTGCCTCATCTCTGTCACTTTTCAGAATTGGTAAAAACAAGAAGGAATACTGAGTTTGTTTCACAGACAATATTCAGCTTATTGGAGGTAAATTATCTCCAAAATTGGTTATAAAAATGCGTTCTACAGAAAATCATTCTGGTAGTTCTTTTATGAACAAAATGAGAAAAAGTAACTGGTACATTTATATGATCATCTTCCCTAATACTTGAATTGATGAATTGACTGTTCTAAGAAATGAAAACAAATATTAAGGAGGAAAAAAAAAGATAATATTTAGAATAAGCTTCTCTCTGTGAAATACTTCATATAATTATACATTCTGTTCAATATTTTTCTATAAGCAAATTAAAGATTATATTAATACATTTATATGATGTTATTATAACTTTTCAATGATATAACTTGAAATAATTATGCTGCTTTCTAGTACAAAATGTAATTCTGTACATTTTATTAATATATTGGTCAACACTTCCTCCATTCATTTGGCCAATATTTACTGTAATGTGTGTGTGTGTGTGTGTGTGTATGTGTGTGTGTGTGTATGTGTGTTGTATATTTGTTTCTTTTTCAATTTTTTATGAAGATGTAACTTATATACAACAAAGTCCATCTTCTTTTAATGTTCAGTTCTTTGAGTTTTTAACAAATACAGCTTTTAATGATTATTACAATCTAGGTGCAGAACAATTTTATTGCCCCAAAGAGTTCCCCCACCCTGTTTTTTGGTTGTGGTTGTCAGACTTCAAGATGGCTCCCTGCTTCAGATAAGTCAAGTTCTGGACTTTGAACTAATAATGCAGTGGGATGAAACTTTTGGGAACAGAAAAAAGTGAGTGTCCTTTAAATGTGGGAGAAATATGAATCACTGAGGTCCAGAGGGCTAACTAGGCCAGGCAGCCTCTAGAATTGCCCCTAGTGATTCCTGTCTATCAGTGTTCATGCCTTTTATAATCTCCTGCCTTTGAATGTGAGCTAGATTTAGTGACTTGCTTCTAGTAAACAGAAATTTAACAAAGATGATGGGATGTCACTTCTGATACTAGGTTTTAATAAGACAGTAGCTTGCGTCTTGGGTGTTCTCTCTCACACCCAAACACTCTAAGAAAAGGCTACCTTGTTATGAGCTTCCTTTGAAGAAGTACATATGTCAGGGAACTGGGCTAACCAGCCAACAAGGAACTAAGATCATCAGTCCAAGCCCCATGAAGAACTGAATTTTGCCAACAACCACGTAAGAGAGCTTGGATACAGATCCTTCTTCATTTGGGCCTTCCAATGACAGTCTGCAAAGAGCTGAACCGATTATCTGCAACCTCATGAAAGAACTTGAGCCAGAGACATTCATCTAAACTATGCCCCAATTTCTAACCCACAGAAACTATGAGATAATAAATGTTTCTTGTTTTAAGCTCCTAACTTGTTACAAGCAGTGGATAATTAATGCAGTGCTTAAAACTTCTCCCTCCCACCCCTACCCCATTTTCAGTCCCTAGCATCCAATGATTTGTTTTTTTTTTCTTTTAGTTCTGCCTTTTTAAGTTTATGCTATCAATAAAATCATACAGTATGTGACCTTTTGAGTTTGTCTCAAACTCAAAGATCCCTCCATTTTGCTGTATGAGTTGTTTTTCCCTTTTAATCATTAGTATTTCACTTGAAAGACTATATCACACTTTTCTTTCGTTTTTATCTATTCACGAGTTGAAGAGCATTTCAGATGCTTCCAGTTTTTGACAGTTAAAACATATCAAGAAGTTATCATAGAGGATTTCTGTAGACACAAGTTTTTATTTCACATAGGTAAATACTTAGGAGTGGGATTACTGAGCTGTATGATATGCCTACATTTAGCTTGTTAAGAAACTATCAAATTATTTTCCAAAGCGGATGTGCCTTTTTTATTGTCACCAGCAGTATGTGAGAGTTCAACCTGCTCCACATCTCTGGAAGCACTTGACATCATTAATTTTATTCTTAGTTATTTGACAGCCATTGTGCTAGGTATGCAGTGCTATCACATTGAAATTTTAATTTCCATTGCTGTAATGGCTAATGACAATGGCTCTATGTACCTAACTGCCATCTATGTATCTTCTTTTGAAAGTGTCTATTCAAAATTTGTGCCCATATTTTAAATCAGTTGTTTTCTTAAGTTTTGAAAATCCTTGTATCTTCTGCATACAAGTCATTTATTAAATATCTGATTTGCATTTATTTTCTTCCAGGCTGTAGCCTTTTTTTAAAGTAGTGTCATATAAAGAACAAAAATTTTAATTTTCCAATTAAAAATCCAATTCATATACTTGACAGTTTTATTAAGCTTTCTGGTGTATGTAACAAAAACAAAAGTAATTTTGGAGAAATTTTTCAGAAAAATAAGAAATATCTAAGTATACAGAATTTAATCTTCCTACAAATATTAAATATCTAATATAAACCTTAAAATGTCTCTTCTCTCATATCTTGTCATCTATGGAATGGAGGGAAGTGAACTTTTATATTAATTCAAGACATAAAGAGAAGTCTATAAGAAATATTCACTGATATATAAAATGGCCATTTAACTCCCAATAGTGGGCAGGCCAAGAAGTCTTGGTGCAACCTTGGAATGATGATGTAG